CAGTGATATAGTATGATATAGTGCGATATAGTATAATATGGTGCGATATAGTATGATACAGTGATATAGTATGATATAGTGCGATATAGTATAATATAGTATGATATAGTATGTTATGGTATGATATAGTATGATATAGTGATATAGTATGATATAGTATAGTGGATGATTCTCAGCTACTATCACTTCATATTACAGCTCAATTACCTGTCAAGAAAATAATACAATCAAAATAACTACTGATAATGTTGATTTGGAACGAGTCCATGAGATCAAGTTTTTGGGTGTTATAATGGATGATAAATTTAGCTGGAAACCACACATTCACCAAGCTAAATCAAAACTGGCCAAAAAAGTGTTGCTGTCTTGAGGGGAATGAGATCAGTTCTGAATTACAAATCATTGTGTATTTTGTATAATACACTCATTGTACCACATTTGACATATTGTGTGAACGTTTGGGGTAATACATACAAAACAAATATAAATTGYACATAATACAAAAATAATTAATTGAATACTGCATAAAGTGATATATTGGGAACATACAAACCCATTATTTTTTATATCAAATGTACTGAAATCCTGGGACCTTGTAAAATTTAAAACTGTACAATTTATGTTCATTGGACACCAGATGCTCAGTTTGAACTTTTGTTCTGAGGTGGATTTAAAGTTTCAGTCAGAAACTTTTCTCACCGCTGTCGTARACGAAGTCAGCAGGCAGGAGGTCAAGGCTCTGCAGGTGTTTGGGTGTGGCGGCAGACAGGGACATGATTTCTCCGACGGCCTCGTGGAACCCCTCGTTTGCCCCGTCCCTCAGCAAGTAGGACAGGTTCCGGTAAGCCATCTGGTACTGGTTGTGACCCATCTCGTGGTGCGCCGTCAGGAAGTTGTCCATGTCGACCTTGGTGCACATCTTGATCCTGCAGGAAAGTTAAAGTCAGCAGTTATGATGCTTTTATATCCAACAGAACCAATAAAACCTGTTGGGTCCAACATGGAGTCCACAAGAGACATAAAGTTTTATGATGGGCTCTCAGTAATATTTACCCAGACAGAGCTATAAACTCATATTTATACAACGGTTTATAATCCAGGCTTTGATTGGTTTTATCAGCAGTAATAATCAACTCATCGATTAATCAGAAGAACTTTACAGTTCTGGTCTGGTTCTGGATCTGTCCCACCTGAAGTCCTCTCGGTTCCCCATGTCCCAGGCGGTGGGGTGACACACCACCTGGCGTCCGTCGTCGGGCTTCACGAACATGGAGTCGGTCCAGAAGTTGTCAAACATCTTGTACAGACCCACGGACATGAAGAACTTCTCAGCTTCTTTAAAAAGCTGAAGCTCGGACCAACCCTGAAGTCCGACAGAGTCACGGGACAAAATGTTACTTCGGTTCTTCTTTTAAACATCTGACCAYGAAACGGTTCTGTACCTGTTCCACCATGGTTTTGCTGACGTCGATATCGGGTTTGTCAGGATACGGGACTGACAGGGGGTACAGGTTGGTCCAGAACCTGCCCCACATGTCACCTGAACAATCAGAACAATTTATTTATTTATTTATTTATTTATTTATTTATTTATTTATTGACAGACTCAGTTTCTTTCTTCATACATTTGTCTGAAAATTTTTAAGAACAAAACAGAAAAATGTTGGTTAAATTCAAAGTTAAACAGTTTTAGCTGAATTTTTTTAAATTCTTTGACCCAAGGAAAGAGCAGGAAAAGATGATGGATGGATGTTGTATGCACGGTTGGATGGATGTTGGATAGTTAGATGGACGGATGGATGGATGGATGGATGGATGGTTGGTTGGTTGGTTGGTAGGATGAATGGATGGATGGAYGGATGGTTGGATGGATGGATGTTGGGATGTTGGATGGATGGATGGATGTTGGATGGATGTTGGATGTTTGGATGGATGGATGGATAGATGTTGGATGGTTGGATAGGTGGATGGATGTTGGATGGTTGGATGTTGGATGGTTGGATGTTGGATGGCTGGATGGATGTTGGATGGTTGGATGGATGTTGGATGGATGGATGGACGGATGGTTGGATGGATGGTTGGAAGGATGTTGGATGGTTGGATGGATGGTTGGTTGGATGGATGCTGGATGGATGGATGGTTGGATGGATGGATGATTGGTTGGTTTGATGGATGGATGATTGGTTGGTTTGATGGATGGATGGATGGATGGTTGGATGGATGGATGGATGGATGTTGGATGGATGGATAGATGGATGTTGGATGGATGGATGTTGGATGGATGGATGGATGTTGGATGGATGGATGTTTGTTGGATGGATGGATGGATGGATGGATGGATGTTTTTAAAGCAGCATGTAGCTGCAGTGAGCAGTTGTGGCCAGCAGAGGGAGACAAACTTCAGATTTAAAGTGTTTGAACACCAGGATCTAGTCCTGGTCCAGGTCCAGGTCCAAGTACTGGTCCTGGTCCTGGATATCCACCTTGCTGCTCTTCAGCAGGTCTTCAGGTTCTACAGGGTTCTGTTCAGTGAACTCAGGAGTTGAAGCAGAGAAACATCTCAGGCTTTAGATGTTTCCTCAGGTCTAAGGATTATTTTTGTTCTTTGTATTGTTTGAATAAAACATGATTTAAATGTTTTATGTTGACAGAAACTTCCAGGTTTTATAACAGTGAGTTTTACACGTTCATCCAGAACCTCCTGGACCTACCCAGCAGGTGGGCCGGCAGAGGACCCTCAGGATCGATCTGACCTGGGTAGACCTCCATGAGTCTGGCTCTCACGTAGGCGTGCAACTCCATGTATAACGGCAGGATCTGGAAATAATCTGTTAGTTTTCTTCCTGCAGAGGAGATGTGAGCTTTTATTTTGAAGGCGATGCACCTCTTTGTAAATGGAGCGAACATCATCCATCAGCTGGTCTCGGCTGTACTGGAACTGAGGGTCGTCCTCGATGGTCTCGTAGTTGTATCTCCAGTAAGATCCATAGTCTTCAAACCCTGCAGAGAACAAAAACCGGACCGGTACTTCCTGTGGTTCTTAACACGGATCAAAGTCATCCTGAGGGGACGGACTTATCAGGAACAGAACAAGAACAGAACCTTATCAGCTGCAAGTGTTCCTGGTTTTATCATCAGTCCTGGTTCCTGATAAGAAGTTCAGACCAGGACCCGTGGATCCTCCGTCTTTTGTTTGTTTACCGTTTAGTTTGGCTGCTTCGTTCTTCAGGTCCACGTAGTCCTCGTAGAGCGGCCTCATCCTCTTCCCCACCTCCTTCCTCCAGCCCTCCCACACGTGGAGACGCTCCTCGTAGTCCCTGCTGTTGGCCATGATGTCCTCCAGACCTGGAACCACAGGAGCCGTCAGAGACCCGAGACACGTCTCAGCTAAAAGTTTAGATCTAATATTTAAATATTTATGAAAAAATGAGGCTCGATTTCAATAAAGAAGCCAATTTTATGCATTTTGACCCAAAAAACAACAAGAAAACATCAACTGAAAGAGCTGAAACTGACTTATTACAGCTAAAAGAAGCTAAAGACTCGCTGAAACCTCAGAGGACAACACAAACAAAACAAAACAAAACAAAAAATTTAAATAAATAAAAAGCAAAACTGCTAAATATTGCGATCAGCCAGCTAAATGTATAAAAGATAAGCCAGAAGCTGAAAGTAAAATCAACTTGTTAAGCAAAATGTTTAAAATTAAACAGTAGCAAAATATCTGATAAAGATTAAAGAAGTACAATAGTAGCTAAAAACTAAAATGAGCAAATTACTAGCTAAATGCTAAAAGAACCAAACATGCAAAAAATCAAAGGAAGCTAAACACTAGCGCAACGTTAAAAAATAGCTAAAAGCTAGCCAAAAATAAAAGTAGCAAAATGCTAGCTAAAAGGTAAATACTGCAATAAGCTAGCTGCAGACTAACAGATGCTAAAAATAACAAAAAAACTAGTTTAAAGCCAAACATAGTAAAAGCAGCTAAGTTTGCTAAAAGCTAAAATAGAGAATTATAGCTAAATCCAAAAATTACAAATTATAATTAACAAAAGGCTAGTTAAAAACTTAAAAGGAAAGTCAGAAACTGAATGTACCAAATACTAGCTAACAGCTAAAAATAGCAAAGGTCTAGCTAAACATTAAAATAAACTAGTTTTATGCTAAATAAGCTAAAACACACTAAAACTAAAGGAAGCAAAACATTAGCTTAAGGCTAAATATAGCCAAATTGTGGCAAACAAAAGTAGCAAAGTCTAAATATTGCAAAAATAAAATAAAAATAAAATCAAGAAAATCTATAATTAGAAGGTAAAAATAGCAAAATGCTTAAAGCTAAAAATAGTAGCACACCAAGCAAAAAATAAAATAAAATAAAATAAAATAAAATAAAAAAGGCCAAAAGTTTAAGAAGTGGGATGATAGCTGAAAGTGAAACTTAGCTGAAAGCTACAGATAGCACAAGAAAACAAAAGCAGAGGCAGCAGCTGAAGCAGATTTCAGAAGAACAAAGGATTTAAACAAACCTGAATGTTTTTCTAAAATTAAACAGTTTGTAAATAAAGTAAAATAAAAATTACAAAATAAAAGCAGATATTAAGAATTAATCTTTCAACAGCAGATATTTATTCCTGATAGATTAAAGGTGTAATTAATGATTAATGCTGACGTCAGCAGGACGCTCTGAGGTTCTGACCGAGTTCTGACCAGAACCTACCCGGTTCCAGAGTCTGGCAGTCGAGAGGGTCGTGAGGCAGACAGACGGTGGCGGTGCTGTAGATGGTGCTCATCTCACTCATCACATCGTTCAGCTGAGCCGAGCAGAAAACATTCAAGTCAGGTTAGACTGTAAAAATGGATCCTGAACTCTGGTTAGTGTTACCAGAAAAATTCAGCTTGAAACTGTAGACATGAGGAAACGAGGAAACATGAGGAAATGAGGAAACATGAAGAAACATGAGGAAACACGAGGAAACATGAGGAAACATGAGGAAAAACGAGGAAACATGAGGAAAAACGAGGAAACATGAGGAAACGAGGAAACATGAGGAAACATGAAGAAACATGAGGAAACATGAGGAAACATGAGGAAACACGAGGAAACACGAGGAA